CATCGGCCTCAGTTGCCTGGGCCGTGAGAGTGGTGATGGATTGGACAATGACTTGGTTTCGTTGAGTGGCTAGGGAGGAAGAGGTGTTATGGTGTTGGGTTATGGTTTGTTGGAGCATTTGTAGGCGGGTGGTGTTGGTTTGTGTTTGGGTTTCGAGTTGGGTAAGGTGGCGTTGTAGGATTGCAAGGGATTGTTGGAGGTCAGAGGTAGAGGTGGAGGGTTGGTTTTCTACAATCCCTTGCATGATGAGTTTAAGGTCTTCCAAGGACCGCATCACTGTATCGACAAAGGCTTGGAACTCATCCTTTGTGACCAGATCAGCAAGTGGGGTAACCCCTGCAGCAACGGATGCTGCAGGTTGTGCCTCTGTTCCTGAGGCGCCTTCTTGGCCTTGTGCGAATGTAGGCCTCGAAGGACTTCTATCATGTCCTTGATAGCCCTCAAGAGAAGAGCTATCTCGTGATGTTGCTTCATCAGCTTCCTCTTCCTCGGCTTCAGAGGCCGAGTAAGTGAAACGAATGTGTGTCCCCTTCGATAGATCAAATATCGAAGGGGGAGGGGTATGAAGGGAAGATCGCTCTGAACGATCTATGGGTTCAACGTCAGAAGCAACACATGCTTTTGTGTGTGTGAAGGGATGTGGCGAGCCCTGAGGCGAAAGGGCTCTTATCTCTTCACGGCATAAAATTTGGAATGGCAAACCGAGCAATTGTGAAGACGATGGAATCCCTGGTGAAACACAGAGCCAAAAGTGATTTTGAAATCGCTTTTAGGCTAGGCATTGAAAGACTATCATGCGCTCCTCCAAACGAAGACTTCCAGGACATGCAGGAGAAACGATCTGCTTCAGTTCTGACTCAACCGGAACTTGGACTTGTTTACAAGAATGAGTTCGGGGTTAAAAAATTCTTCAGACTGACTAAAGTCTTCAAGTATTCAACAGATACACTTGAATGGTTTCAGAAAATTATTAGAGAAAGACTGGGCAGAAACCATGTGCCGAGGGAAATAGGGAGTCAGCTCATTCACGAGATATCGACAATCATCGCATATCGAAGACTGCTCCTACGCGTCAGAGAAATATACTCAGGTAGCTCGTGATGAGTTAAAATTTTTTTGTTAGTTTTGCTTTGATGTATTTTAATTCAAGTATTGTAAGAAATTTCATCATGCAATAAAAATTTGGAATTTGATGTTTTTCTACTAGATTAGTTTATGTTCTTCACAAGTGTGTCTAGAGTAGACTATGTTATTTCATTACTTAGGGGGAGATTGTTAACCCCACAATTCATAATGTAAAAAGTAATGAAAAACAATAAGTGATGAAGAACCAGAAGATCAATGAAGACATCAAGGCAGAAACGACTAAGTCTGGAATTCAACCAGAGGACCGATGGACAGTCCAAGGATGCGTTGGAAAGAGCATTCTCATCGATCCTCTGGTCATCAACACTTAGAAGATTTTCCAACACTTCATTCAAACATGCCATGAAGATTTGAAGATAAGGATGGAATCATCATATCATGAATGAAAGTTGGAGATGACAAGTCAACAACTGGAATTCATGTTTATCTCAATATTAGCGCCTATCCATACAAAAGATAAACCTTATCTGTTAATAGAAGATTTACTAGAAAATAGCATTATATAGTTATCTTCTTCTTAGCTGATTAGTATAAATAGGTGATTAGACCTATTGTAAAAACAGTCGCTTTACGTATCACTCTTACGTTTCTCAGTTTATAAAAGTTAAATTTTTGAAGCTCAAGACTGTTCATAAATATTCTTATTATTCTTCTCGAGTCTTCATAATTTCTTTCATAAAATCACTATAATTTGGTTATTCATAACTAGATTATTAGTGTTATTGAGAGATATGGGATCAACAACCACAATTCACAGTAGAGTACATTATTTTACTGTAGAATCTATAAGCTGCATACTAATGATCCAAGTAACATCCATGTTTATGACCCTTAACAACAATCCATTTTGATGGCCAAACATGTTATAAGATAAAGTAAGTGGGGGTGATGTCTCTTGCCGATAGATGCTTACCTTGTAAGCATTTGATAAACAACCCCTAACAGTGAAGCATAAAGAACCTCAGTCAACAAAGTGTAATTAGTGAATAGTGAACTTTTAGGAGAAAAACAGGCATTATGCAGCGTTTACAAAGAGTTAGATTAGCTCAAATACAGTCAAAGTCATGCTTGGGGGGGGGGGGGGGGGGAGAAAGTGGTTGTGACAAACAACTTAGAATGGGCTTCAACTTAGGTAGGCCAATCTATAGCTAAAAAAATTAATTGGAAGATGGATCATATTTTCATATATTGCAAGGGATATTCTCAAATGTATGACCACTCTCATATGTGCTAAAATTCTTTAAGGGATTATATTTAAGTATGCCATTTTGGTGAACTTAACTGGAAGATGGATCATATTATCATATTTACATATATTGCAATGAACTTAACTAGAAGATGGATCATATTATCATATTTGCATATATTACAATGAACTTAACTGGAAGATGGATCATACTTGTAATCTTGAATTTTAAGTAATATGCATCAATATACAATATTTTATGCATAACAAAAATATATCGATATTTGTATCAAATTAACTATTTAAAATTCCTCATTTTTTGTGTAATTTTTTAATTCATTTTTTTATTATAATTTAATTTACGTACAATAACGAAACAATTTATATTTGGTTTAATAATATAATTTTTTTAT